AATAATTTGAAGGAAATTGAGACCCATTAAAAATATAGATGACTGTAAACCACATAGAAAGAATTAATGTTGTAAGTGACGAACTAATCTGCACAGAACCAAGTATGAATTCCTGGGATAGTTAAACTACTCTTTAGAAAGACTAAGTAAAATGAAAAGCCGTTTAATTTTAGTTTAGCAAAATGATAGTTGAACTAGTATATGTATGTCTTTAGCAGATTAAACCTGTATTTCCTATTATAAGCACTATATTTGAATGACACGATCACCAATTTAAAGATACATGGTAAAAGAAATTAGTTGACAATATGCAGAAAAGAACACTGTTGAATAGGATAGAGAAGACCTGAAGAATGGAGTCCACCTCTCGGATATGCGATAAGAATTTATTCCCTAACCCCTGCAACAATGACATAGATAAGAAATCAAGGTCCTAATTGCAACAGAATCCAAAAGACATGCCATATATATAAGAAACAAATCAATCAGTACAAGTTCCGTAAACACCAAAAGTGAGCCACAAGTCTACAACTAGCAAACGATAACAAGAAAAATTAATGTTCCCTTTTGCTACTTACTATGTACTATTTTCTTCCTCAAAAGGGCATTAAAACTCAAACGCAAAATCAAACAATAAAAAAGAAAAATCATTTAATTAAAAATTAGAAAAAAGCTGAAATATAACACAATTTCATAGTTGTTTTGTATAAAACTAGAATCATGAATTTTGTGATCCATTAAAATTATGGCTCCTTTTCATTGTTGCTCTTGTTCTGTGCTTTTTGCTACCCCAAAAGTTGCTATAATGCAAAAGTAAATGATAAAGAAGCAAAGTTATAATTGATTAAAATGAGACAATAATTAAAATCTAACACACATTCAAACTTGATTGACTAATATAAAGTAAACTCATTTATATTACAAAATTTTAGTTTTATATATTTACTACAATCAAGAAGTAAACAACAATACTCTACTTGATTGATTTAAAATGGACAAATGATAAAAATATAACACCAATTATATAATAATTAGTCTATATAGTGGTAAAATCATGCATTTTGTTATACAAAAGGTTACCATATTTTGTATAGAATCCTTCAAAAAACCTTATTTGCATTTGTATCCAAATGCACATTTTGTTTTTGAAAACAAGAAAGCAAGAAGCAAATAACAAATGCAGTAACCAGGCCAGGAAAAAAAAAAACCCAAAGAAGAAATACAACTGGTAAAAAAACTAATAAAATACAAGTAGCAAAAGCAATAATCCCACCGCCTAATATTGCCTAATCTTTAGTTCAAATGCAGTATTTGCTTTCACATACAAATGCAGTTTTTCCTTTCTAAAGAAGACAAGAAACACAAGTACAAAAATAACAACCAAAACAAAAAGTAATAGTCGAAGTTTTACCTCTCCTTGACTGGCACCCTTAACTAGACCCGCAATGTCAACAAACTCAATAGAAGCAGGAACAGCTCTTTGAGACTTGCTTAGCTCAGAAAGAACATGAAGCCGAGGATCCGGAACCGCAACAACCCCAACATTTGGCTCTATTGTACAAAACGGAAAATTAGCCGCTTGCGCTTTCCCATTCTCAACCTACATTTTTAATTTCAAAGTCAATTCACTCATCAAAATTTCCTTTTCTTTTCTAAGAGAGAAAAAAGAAAAAAAATCCAAAGTCCGGAATTAAGTAACTTACGACGGCATTGAAGAGAGTTGATTTGCCGACGTTAGGGAGACCAACAATGCCGGCTCTTAAGCTCATGCTTATTCTGGAAGAAGAAGAGTGTAATCTCGTTTTTCTCCCATTAAAAACGCTGATTAATTGAGGGTTTTTCGTGAAAATGGAGGGTTTATTTGGAAGAAGAGTTAGAGTTGAAAGTAGATTACTGCAGGCTGTTCTCGCCATGTTAGAAGAGAAAGCTTCAAGATGGATAGAGGTTTTTTGTCTCCTTTTTCTCAAGGAATACGGCCAGCCACTGGTTCTGGTTTGCTTTGGAGTGGCTTATGGCCTGAGGTTTTAAAAGGGTTTCTTTTGGGATTTTCATCTTTTGCCCAATAATATGTTAATTTCAAACTTTAACCACTCGTACTTTTTCTTATTTGCTGTAAATAGATAAAAAATATTTTTCTTAAATGAGCTCCATACATAAGGTATTTTTGAGAATAGATCTTTACATAATTTTAACTGTTTTTAGTCAAGAGAAATAAAATTTAGACAAAATTATCATGAGTAAAATCAACTCATTTGATGGATTTACGCATCAACTTGAAACTTATTAATAGGTTAAGTATGTTTATATGGTTTAAAACTGGTCAATTCTCAATGACAGACCGTACTTCTCCTCAGAAGCAATTCTGTCCAAAGCTTTCCTGGCCAGTTTAACTTCTGAGCATTTTCGCAGTAGTAGGAGCATTTTGGACTGGTTATTATTCGTATAAAGGTTTTTACATATTGAGTAGTGAGAAGAAGTTCGCATTACACAAAGAAAAGTATATATATTTTTATTATATTTTAAACAATGTGGAGAAATGGTTATTCTTCATGTTTTCGGTTTAGGGTTTTGAGCATAAACCTATACATATTGCTTGTTCATTTTGATATTCTTGTTGTTTGAAATTATTGAATGTAAACATGAAGGTGGTATTGTTGGTGTTGTTGGGGTGGAAAGGTACAAGCATGCGCAACTGGCTGATATGTAGGCATTATGACCTTTGATATGAATCGGTTTAAGGGTTTAGATATTGCGTGACAGAAGGCTTGGTTAGGTCTTATGTGGTTGGCACCTTATGCATGATAGGATTTTGGCATGGGGTCATTGAGGGTGTGCGTGACTATAGTAGGGTTTAACATTGCGTGACTGCTGTCGAGTTTAAAATTGCTTGACTAGTTGATATGTCATTACATGACATATTGAAAGGTCATTGCATGACAGGGTGACTACATGTTGCAGGTAGGGTGGTCGTGATTGTATTAGGGATTAACATTGTGTGACTGGTAATAGGTCATTGCATTACCTAATGATAAATCATTGCGTGACCAGCATGAATTAAAGAGACTTGGTAATCTTAAGCTGTGCGTGATGCATAAGGGTTTAACACTACGTGACTGCTTGATAGGTTTGTATTATTTGGGTCAACTGTAATGCTTTAATATGTATAGTTTGATTTACTTAATAATCCATGCTCGAAACTTATATTAATTATGCTGTTTCAAGGCTATCTAAAAACAGTTGAAATTATTGATAGGGTTATATTTGGAGTGAGCTTATAAAGAGGGCTATTTCTCAAAAAATTTTCTTTTTTTTGTTAATATACAATGATGGTATTAACTTGACTAAATGGTAAAGTTATCTGTTTTATGTTGCAGATGGCCAGCACAGGAACTGAGCAGCATAATTGAAATCTTTGCTTATTGTCCAAGCACCAGGGAGATTCACGGCATAAACATCCACATAGACTGGTCGCACCTACATGTGATACATGAGAATCCGTGCAAAGTAAATGAGTTCGAAATGTTTAAGAGAACATGCTTTGGGCATACGATGGACGTCGAATCAGAGAAGAGTTTATTCTGCTTCAGTCTCGTGCACAACTTAATGCTGCGCAGAATCAATGAACTCGATGCCATCGAGGGTGAGTTATGGTTTGCCATAGGCAGAACGAAAGCTCAATTTTTGAATAGGGAGTTCTGCTTGGTGACAGGACTTAAGTTTGGTGCCCTGTTAACCCTTATTGTCAATCCCTACGAGGCCGTCCCAGGAGGAATTCACTTGTGATATTGGGGACAAGGGAATGACGTGAAGATACAACAAGTTTTAGAGATGTTCAAGGGAGGGCAGTTTCAGCGAAAGGGAGATGCAACCAAGATGGCCTTCATCTTGATCACAAGCAATGTTTTATTCAGTCAAGACTACAGACGATAAGTGATTTTGTGGTTGTTGTTGCTGGTTGAGAATATCGATGAATGGAATGCATTCCCATGGGGCATATACGTTTGGAGTCTGACTCTCAATTACTTGGTAAGGGGTTTCGAACCTCCACCGGTGAGAGTAGCAGAGAAGAAATGTTACCACCTCTACGGATTTATATGGGCATTTCAGGTAGTGTGCCATACCCTGATGTTTAGCATTATTCTTTTCGCGTTAGAGTTTATGAGGTGAGTAAACAATGATTCATAATTGATTTGCAGTTTTGGGCGTTGAAAGCAATTTCTGTAATCCAAAACTTGTTTGGAAGGCAGCGCCAGTGTGGACAGGTTTCCTCAAGAATGCAGAAATGGGCGTGTGACGAGAGGCCTACAGGCTTCCATGTCAATATTGCAAATTTGGAGATAGAAGGCAAGGCGAGTAAAGAAAGCATATATTTTTATTTTAATTTTATTAAACTTCCTCTCACTGCTCAATATGTGAACTACTTTTATTCGAATAATAACCCTTGTAAAATGCTCCAACCATTAGGAAAATGCTCGAAAGTTGAACTGACGAGGAATGCTTTTGTCAAAATTGCTTCTGAGGAGATGTACAGTATATCGATGACAATTGAGGAGTTATGAGCATAGAAACATACTTAACCCGTTTATAGGTTTCGGGTTAAAATGCGTAGCCAACAAATGGGTCAATTTCGATAAGGACAGTATTGTCTAAATTTTATTTATCTTGACTAGAAATAGTTAAAATTATGTAGAGGCCTATTCTCAGAAACACCTTATGCATGGAGGGCATGGATGCCATTTAAACTATTTAAAAAAAGGGGTTAGATCTAATGGCAATGTATGTTTTGGCGCAGTTGTGAGTAGTGAGGACGTTGGAGCCAACTGTGAAAGAGTTGTTGACCGCATATTGGACTGACATTGAAGTCAATACCTCCAAGGGGCAGCAATACATTCCATTATGGAAGTTGGAGGGTTGGCCAGAATTTTGTCCCCAACAAAAGAGGAAGATAATGGACTGCAAAGGGAAAAGTACAGTAAAACGAGGCATTAAGCGGAGTCACACCACAGACGAGGAGCTCTATTCCTAATTGGGTGTTACCGAGGCGCTTGATTCTCCTCCTGCTGCTTCTCCTACTACTCCTGATGTTGCTACTCCTCCTGCTCCTGCTACTGCCCTTCATGGTCAGGCGCAACT